TGTATGTATGTATGTAAGTTTGTTTGCAGCAGGTAATCTCCGAAACTACTCATCCGATTTCAAAAATTCTTTCACCAATATTTAGAATGGAACCTCAGGGTGGACATAGGCTGTATATTATTCCGTTAAACATTCATATAAATTAAAATATATAATCTAGGTTAAGGCTTTTATGTCCAACAGATGGCGCTATGAGTACGACGCCCTAAGTTTGCTTTTCTGTGAGGCATTACGCTTTTCTGTGAAAATGAACTAAAGCAGATCATCTTCTATCTATTTACAGTATATAAATAAAAATGTAATGTTCGTTTGTTCCTACCGATTCCTTTGAAATTTTGACACAACGCTGCATTCGAATAAGCACGTGTTTTTATATAATAAACGTGTCGAAATTCCTCCCACTGAAGGGAGATGGTTAGGATTAAGGCTTACCGTAAAGAACTCTGCTTCTATTTATACTATTTTAGATGTGGTTTTTTGCGTTTTAATAGGGTACGTCAACAGAATGTACACTAAGAAGAAATTTTTCGAAAAATCCCCCCCACGGGGAAGTGTTATAAATTTATAATAGATACATTTTGAGCCACAACAACGCGTGGCGGGGTCTGCTAGTAATGGATAATATGTATATACTTATTTAAGAATATATTAATTTCTGCACATCACAATTGAGATTATTTGTCCATGTAAAAGAGATTATAATTTTAAAATAATTCTTCAAATTTTAATAAAATAACAAAATATTTCTAATTATTTTCAGCTCAGGAGACATATTGATTCACTTATTGTACGAGATAACTGTCATCCATTTAAATCTATCATAGTTGTCGGACTGCAGTTGCCAACATGGATATCTTTATCCTTTGCGTTGAGAAACATGGTAAATTTCATGCCTTATGGAAATCAAGGTTTGTTCTTTTAATCCTTTTACTGAAGTTTTGAACTACACAATTATACATTTTCATTTAATTTAGTTAAGTCTAAAATTACAAAACTGGAATATCACATTCAACACAAATAAATAATATTTACTTCACTCCAGCACCAAATATCACATATAAGAAATGTTTTTGGATTAATTCATAACCCTTCCTCAGGCTTTACAAAAAAGCAGGGTTGTGGAGTCATGTAAAAATCTACCGACTCCGACTTTTCCTTACCATCTGAGTCTGACAAGAGGCAGACTTGTTACCGAAAGAGACCCGGAAATTCTGATGTCATCACATGATCTCAGAATAAAAGATTCAATAAATAGAGTTCTAATAAAGATAGAACGTAGAAACTTTTATGTATTATTATTATTATTATAAAATTTCTGTTATGTATTAATAAATTATAGTTATTGACTGAAACATATGTATAATTTTTTTCAGTTCCTACATTTGATATGACATATTTGGAGATGACTGTGGGTGGCACACTTTGGTTTCCAAATCTAACTATACCAGATCAACTTTTGATTATTCCAGTATTATTAGGAATTGTCAATTTGACAATAACAGAGGTAAGATTGTTTAAATAACTAAAACTTGAATGAAATAAAGTTTACAAACACAAATAATAAAATGTTTTATAAGTTGTGATTGATCATAATGAAATGTGTATGGAATATATACATAAGAACAACAACTCAACCTGATTTAATTAATTAAATGTGTTTTTTTAAATTGCCCAGCATTTGTACTTTTGGGTTTTGCTCTATTTGTACAATGTAAAATCTACAATCATAATAATTTACACTAAGTATACTATTACAGTCAAAACTTTCTAATCTGGCATCCTCTTTATTCTGACCCAACTTCTTGTAATACTTGATTGAGTTAAACAAATACATTCTAATGTTTATGACTTAATGTATTTATTTAACTCAATAATCTGACACCCTTCTGCTTCAAATTCTGACACTATATAATGGAACAGTAGTACTATCATGGAATAGATGTAATAATATCTTGTCTCTAATCCAACTATTGCCTACATGTATGTACATGCTGTAAACAATTACAGATACATTGTCGGGTAACATTAAACAATGCATTAGTATATTGTGAGCAGCAGATTCAACCCCAAGAACAACAGTCATAGACTTTTCCTTTGGTTAGACACCAATGCAATGGAAACGTGCTTCTTTCTCAGGATTATGCTTATGACCATAGAAGTGCAGCTTTATGATTGACTTCATTTCTTCAAATGTGTAATACCAATGCATTATAAATAAAATAAAATAAACCTTTAACTATCCAGCAATAAAAAATGTTTAATAAGAACGTTTTCAATGTTTAGTGTTCTTTTTTTAATATTGGTTCAACTGAAGATGGCCGTTTAAAAACGGTTGAAAACGTTCTTATTAAACATTTTTTATTGCTGGATAGTTAAAGGTTTATTTTATTTTATTTATATTATTCATTCCAGTATAAGTTCTCGTTTTTATTTGTTCCAATGCATTATGCAATCTGAAATTATAAACATGACAAAGCTCTTGTTTAATAGCAGTCACACACTCCAACTTTGTATGCCAAAGGACACACAAGGAGAGGGTCAGATGTTAGGATGTAAATGGGTAGCCCTTAACATAGACAGTTCCTTATCCAAATAATAGGACCCAGTTCTCAAGTGTTTCTCAAATTTCCAAAAAATGGGCCTTTGAAAATTGAGTTATAAGTGATTAAAAAATCATGACATCCTCTTTCCTATTTAGCATAAGTGACATCTCTGTACATTTTAATCTTTCATGTCATTAAATAAAATTTTCCCTTCTTCATATTTACTTTTATATATGGTGATATTGTTATATTTGAAGTGTAACAAACATGAGCACATGAGGAAATGGTCCATAACATTAATAATAAAAAAAAGTTATGTCTATGCTACCCTATTTTAATAACAGACTTGTTTTTCATCCATGCAAAGTAATGTCCAAAGCTTATTTGCTCATGATGACACAGTATGTGTATTTTTAAAATTTAAACCTTTTGCATTTATGGCTCTATACCATATGTCTGTTTTTGTCTTTTGGTTCTTCTACATTTTTCCCTGTTCTTTGTTCTTGCTACCATCTAGAATTTTCTAATTTCCTTAATTCTTCCATCTTGGGGGTGAGGGTCACTTCCTGGAATAATCAGTATAATGTCTGAGAGGTTACTTGAAGACATACAAAGTGAAGAAGGGTCACTTTTGATCTGGTGCTCAAAGTGAGAGGACAAACTGAGGGCAGGTGTGTGAAATTGTCTGGTACTTGNACACAAAATGAAATTAGTGGCCACCAAGGTTTCTGTGTCTGTCCTAAAAGACACAGTGGTCATTGTGTCTTTTAGGACAGACACAGAAACCTTGATGCCCCGAAACTCAGTCCTGATGATTTAGTCATCGCAAACATGGTATTGACCCTTTGGTTCTGTGGTGCTGAAGCATGGGGATGCTTCGTGCATTGTCACATTAATTCTTTTAAGGACATTGAATGATCACTCTGCAGATGTGTTTGAAACAGGAATTAATAAATATATTTTTAAAACTTTTGTCAGCATTAGGAAAGTTAGAAACTAACTCTTCAATATGTGTGCCAGTATCTCTCTATGACTATTTAAAATATTTAAATTCTCACTTCATTTATATTTTATTTTTTCTTCCATTTCTTTTCAGTATTAGGTACTTAATCTCTACATTTGGAATATTTAGATATTTGATACTGAGCTTGTGGAAATAGGATAACTTATTTTCATAGAGTTGTCATCCTTGATTGAACCTGTATATAATTATACCACATGTAAATAAATTAATTTTTCTCCCATCTACCATGTATTTAGTTGTTGGGTGTTTACCTTAGTGGGCTAACAAAAACTCTATCATATATCTCAAACATCCATTTTAATTTGTTTTGTAAACTTTAAACATGCTGAATAATAACTGTAATAATAATGCTAATTATATAATAAAATAACTGTGTACACATAAAAAAATAAAATAAAATTGCAAAGTTTCAAGCCTATATCATGTTTCTCCAGTGCTTAGTGTCTTTTCCACGTGGTTATCACCACAATGAAGAAATGTGAAACTTTCAGTCTTGTAAGCCAAACACTCAATTTTCAGAGGCCTGTTTTTCAGAAATGCTTGAGAAGCATATCCTATTATTTGGATAAGGAAGTGTTTGTGTGCAAATGGCTACCTGCTTGCCAAGATTTTTTCAAATCAAAAACCTGAAAACCTGACTCACTCCTTGTTAGTGCATTGCTTCATGGTCAGTGCCATGTTTGCTTTTGTCATGTGATGAAATTTCCATCTTACTTGCCATTGTGGCAGAATTTAAATTTCATACAACTAATGTGTTTATTATGAGATCTGTACTATAAAAGTACACAAAATATAAAGTTTATAATTACCTGGTATTTTCATCAACTTNACTTTGAGAAACGCTGGTTTAAACAGAGGAAAGACATTTTTAAAGTCTGTAATTGCACAGAAAACATGTCTACAATTACACCTCTGAATGAGATGGTCAGTCTCAACCATCTCAACCTCTCAGGATAAGTAAAAGGACCAACTATGGATAAGGTCTCAACCTTCTCATCAGCTATAGACCATATCCATAGGAGCAAAAAAGTCAAAGGAACTGTATCTCTGTATGTGACCCTTTGTGAGAAGCCGCAGAATATATTAATTTATCTTTTGGTTTGAGAAAATATGAAAAATTTCATTTTGATATCAATAAGATATGCAGAACTGTTATACTTAAAATTAAAATTTAAATTAATTTACTTAAAATAATTGTTCAATATACAAAAAGTAACCAATTAATAAAAGTTGGACAACTCTGATTTAAATTAAGCAATAGGAAGTCTAACATATGAAATTAAAACATATAAAATTTTTTGATTTTTACAGTAATAAAAATAACAAATGGTAAAACAATCATTGAAGATATTTTGTGCATTAAATATGTTCTATTTTAAAGTTTACATTATTTATATTAATTTCTATATTTAATTATATGTTTCATAATGCTAAAAACAACAAATTGATAATTGATGCTCACAAACTTATTATTTTTGGAATTATCTTTAATGACTCTAAATACAGTCTGTTCTACTTTAATATTAATATGTATTTCCATTGAGTGAACTTGTTTATATGCAATATATTTATAGGACAATGAAATAAAGAAAATTTTAAATTGTTTGCATTTAACTTTGCTATATACATTTTTTTACAAAGTGACTAGCTTATACTTCTATACTTTGCCCTACCAACAGGACCAGAGTTTAACTTGTGGCTGTTCTTCTTTCATAAAATAATCTATACTAATATTATAAAGAGGTAATGTTTGTATGTATGTATGTAAGTTTGTTTGCAGCAGGTAATCTCCGAAACTACTCATCCGATTTCAAAAATTCTTTCACCAATATTTAGAATGGAACCTCAGGGTGGACATAGGCTGTATATTATTCCGTTAAACATTCATATAAATTAAAATATATAATCTAGGTTAAGGCTTTTATGTCCAACAGATGGCGCTACGAGTACGACGCCCTAANTATAAAAGTGAAAAAAAGAATTAATGATAAATGAAAGGATACTTACAGAAGGCATAGTTATGGCAATAGGGATTAATATGATACTAAAACAACGAAAAAGATTTGTTGTCAGCTTTTGCAACTTTGTATTCCGTCTAAATTTTCTTAAAGTATGAACCTAAAGAACAAAAGAAGAGAGACCTGATTGTTTTTTTTTATAAATTAAATATTTTTTCTTTTACTATATTGAATAAAAATGTTTCAACTCATTACTAGATTATAATCAAATCAATTTGCAAAATATGACTCCTAACAAAATCAAAAAATTTGATTATAATCTAGTTATCTAAGTTATTTTATTATATAATTAGCATTATTATTACAGTTATTATTCAGCATGTTTAAAGTTTACAAAACAAATTAAAATGGATGTTTGAGATATATGATAGAGTTTTTGTTAGCCCACTAAGGTAAACACCCAACAACTAAATACATGGTAGATGGGAGAAAAATTAATTTATTTACAAGTGGTATAATTATATACAGGTTCAATCAAGGATGCCAACTCTAGGACAGTTGCTCTGGCAGTAACCCTAAACCTAACTGTCATTGAAACAATTTCAAATTTAAGAATTTACCATAACACATAAAATTGCAATAACAGTAATTATTGTTATTGCAATTTTATAATTATTGTTTTATGTACAATCAACAAGAATTATTATTAATAAATAAAATTCTTATAGTTAAACTTACATTAATATGGAAAGATAATGATAAGGGGCAAGTAGTAGTAAATATGGCAGATAGGACGGAATAAAAATCCTCGAGTCATGTGAACATCTTTCAGTTCTCATTGTGAAGAGCCATGTGAAACTTCTTGCACCAAATTAACACTTTCTTCTTTTTCTCATTAATTCCTGAGAGTTTTGATAACCAATGGTCACTTATTCAAAACTTGCAAGTTGATACCAAATCCAACTGGTCAAGTTGATACCAAATCCAACAAACTAACTTTGCCCAAGAATTTCAAAGATTCCCTCTTGAAGTTACAACTTTACCCATATACTCAAGTACCAGACAATTTCACACACCTGCCCTCAGTTTGTCCTCTCACTTTGAGCACCAGATCAAAAGTGACCCTTCTTCACTTTGTATGTCTTCAAGTAACCTCTCAGACATTATACTGATTATTCCAGGAAGTGACCCTCACCCCCAAGATGGAAGAATTAAGGAAATTAGAAAATTCTAGATGGTAGCAAGAACAAAGAACAGGGAAAAATGTAGAAGAACCAAAAGACAAAAACAGACATATGGTATAGAGCCATAAATGCAAAAGGTTTAAATTTTAAAAATACACATACTGTGTCATCATGAGCAAATAAGCTTTGGACATTACTTTGCATGGATGAAAAACAAGTCTGTTATTAAAATAGGGTAGCATAGACATAACTTTTTTTTATTATTAATGTTATGGACCATTTCCTCATGTGCTCATGTTTGTTACACTTCAAATATAACAATATCACCATATATAAAAGTAAATATGAAGAAGGGAAAATTTTATTTAATGACATGAAAGATTAAAATGTACAGAGATGTCACTTATGCTAAATAGGAAAGAGGATGTCATGATTTTTTAATCACTTATAACTCAATTTTCAAAGGCCCATTTTTTGGAAATTTGAGAAACACTTGAGAACTGGGTCCTATTATTTGGATAAGGAACTGTCTATGTTAAGGGCTACCCATTTACATCCTAACATCTGACCCTCTCCTTGTGTGTCCTTTGGCATACAAAGTTGGAGTGTGTGACTGCTATTAAACAAGAGCTTTGTCATGTTTATAATTTCAGATTGCATAATGCATTGGAACAAATAAAAACGAGAACTTATACTGGAATGAATAATATAAATAAAATAAAATAAACCTTTAACTATCCAGCAATAAAAAATGTTTAATAAGAACGTTTTCAACCGTTTTTAAACGGCCATCTTCAGTTGAACCAATATTAAAAAAAGAACACTAACCATTGAAAACGTTCTTATTAAACATTTTTTATTGCTGGATAGTTAAAGGTTTATTTTATTTTATTTATAATGCATTGGTATTACACATTTGAAGAAATGAAGTCAATCATAAAAACGGTTGAAAATGTTTTTATTAAACATTTTTTATTGCTGGATAGTTAAAGGTTTATTTTATTTTATTTATATTATTCATTCCAGTATAAGTTCTCGTTTTTATTTGTTCCAATGCATTATGCAATCTGAAATTATAAACATGACAAAGCTCTTGTTTAATAGCAGTCACACACTCCAACTTTGTATGCCAAAGGACACACAAGGAGAGGGTCAGATGTTAGGATGTAAATGGGTAGCCCTTAACATAGACAGTTCCTTATCCAAATAATAGGACCCAGTTCTCAAGTGTTTCTCAAATTTCCAAAAAATGGGCCTTTGAAAATTGAGTTATAAGTGATTAAAAAATCATGACATCCTCTTTCCTATTTAGCATAAGTGACATCTCTGTACATTTTAATCTTTCATGTCATTAAATAAAATTTTCCCTTCTTCATATTTACTTTTATATATGGTGATATTGTTATATTTGAAGTGTAACAAACATGAGCACATGAGGAAATGGTCCATAACATTAATAATAAAAAAAAGTTATGTCTATGCTACCCTATTTTAATAACAGACTTGTTTTTCATCCATGCAAAGTAATGTCCAAAGCTTATTTGCTCATGATGACACAGTATGTGTATTTTTAAAATTTAAACCGTTTGCATTTATGGCTCTATACCATATGTCTGTTTTTGTCTTTTGGTTCTTCTACATTTTTCCCTGTTCTTTGTTCTTGCTACCATCTAGAATTTTCTAATTTCCTTAATTCTTCCATCTTGGGGGTGAGGGTCACTTCCTGGAATAATCAGTATAATGTCTGAGAGGTTACTTGAAGACATACAAAGTGAAGAAGGGTCACTTTTGATCTGGTGCTCAAAGTGAGAGGACAAACTGAGGGCAGGTGTGTGAAATTGTCTGGTACTTGAGTATATGGGTAAAGTTGTAACTTCAAGAGGGAATCTTTGAAATTCTTGGGCAAAGTTAGTTTGTTGGATTTGGTATCAACTTGACCAGTTGGATTTGGTATCAACTTGCAAGTTTTGAATAAGTGACCATTGGTTATCAAAACTCTCAGGAATTAATGAGAAAAAGAAGAAAGTGTTAATTTGGTGCAAGAAGTTTCACATGGCTCTTCACAATGAGAACTGAAAGATGTTCACATGACTCGAGGATTTTTATTCCGTCCTATCTGCCATATTTACTACTACTTGCCCCTTATCATTATCTTTCCATATTAATGTAAGTTTAACTATAAGAATTTTATTTATTAATAATAATTCTTGTTGATTGTACATAAAACAATAATTATAAAATTGCAATAACAATAATTACTGTTATTGCAATTTTATGTGTTATGGTAAATTCTTAAATTTGAAATTGTTTCAATGACAGTTAGGTTTAGGGTTACTGCCAGAGCAACTGTCCTAGAGTTGGCATCCTTGATTGAACCTGTATATAATTATACCACTTGTAAATAAATTAATTTTTCTCCCATCTACCATGTATTTAGTTGTTGGGTGTTTACCTTAGTGGGCTAACAAAAACTCTATCATATATCTCAAACATCCATTTTAATTTGTTTTGTAAACTTTAAACATGCTGAATAATAACTGTAATAATAATGCTAATTATATAATAAAATAACTTAGATAACTAGATTATAATCAAATTTTTTGATTTTGTTAGGAGTCATATTTTGCAAATTGATTTGATTATAATCTAGTAATGAGTTGAAACATTTTTATTCAATATAGTAAAAGAAAAAATATTTAATTTATAAAAAAAAACAATCAGGTCTCTCTTCTTTTGTTCTTTAGGTTCATACTTTAAGAAAATTTAGACGGAATACAAAGTTGCAAAAGCTGACAACAAATCTTTTTCGTTGTTTTAGTATCATATTAATCCCTATTGCCATAACTATGCCTTCTGTAAGTATCCTTTCATTTATCATTAATTCTTTTTTTCACTTTTATACAAAATTTACAGAATACTGTATTATATAGAATCATTACCTTTTTAATTAAATATTTTAAAATAATTTCTCACTTACATATCTGAAAGGTTTTGAATAGATAACTAAAATTAGAAATGAGTAAAATTAAATTTATTATAGAAAAAATAAAGTTAATATAACAAATTTTAAAATTTTTCAGGTTTTAAAGATATAGCAAATGACAATTCTTATATAATATTTTTAATTGACAAAATACAGTTTCATTAAAAATTTCTAAATCCATTAAAACAAAGTAAAATCTGCATCATGTTAAAAATTAACTTAGCAGTTAAACATCAAACTGTATTATAAATTTTAAATAATACAGAATAATTCAGAAAATAATAATTTGTTTGATGTACAATTAATGTTAACATTTGAGTTTTTCTAAAAAAAAAATTGAACAATAGTTAAAGTTTTTCTAAAAATATCTTAAAATAAAAGATTTTAAAAGTGACTTCTCTTTCGATTTTAGAGGTTCCTCTGAAACCTCTAAAATCAACTTAGGAAGAGAAGCCACTTGCAAATGTTTTAAAATCTTTTATTTTAAAATAGTTTTAGAAAAACTTTATACATTAGCTGATGCCATTGAGTAATTTTTTAAACTTTGAACAATAGTTAGGCATATCTTACATTATAATATAATAAAATAAAAATATTGAATTGTACTAAAGAATTGTTTACATAATGTATTAAATTAATTCCAATAATGGTTTCAGTTCATGATTGTAATGTGTCAAATACATGTTTTCCAATAAATATCTTATTTTTAGATTAATTTCTAATTGACTCATTATTTTGTCATTTTTTATTAAAGTNAAAGAAAAATTTAGACATTACAGGGATGAATAAACAAAATTTCTTATATCTTCACTTTTCATGCTTTTTGAACTGAGAAATTGTCAATCAGGTCATTGTAATCAATCGTGTTTGAAATGTCATTCTTAATGTACAATATTGTCAAATTACATAATTTTTCTTGTCCAATTGAATTTCTAATATAATTTTTAATGTGAGAGCCCAGACTTGACAAAAATTTTTATTCAAAAAATTTTTTGAAAGAAAAAATTGTAGCAGATATGATTAAAACTTTTCCCACAAACGTGCTTCTTTCTGTAAGGTGACACATCAAATGTGTCACCTGGAGCCAACGATTGAAATTTAACTATAAGCCCTGACGTATAATAATTCCTAATGAGGTCATGAGAAAAACCTATGATCCCCTAATAAAAAGAAGCAGTTTACCATCATCGTTAGTTTGCCATTCTTTGAACTGGTGTTCGCACTTGATCCTGTTTTGGATACTGCTCAAGCTGTCGCCATCCTTGCCCTCTACAGATGAAAGATTTTCACCCTTTTGATTCATTGAAGCTTCTTCCAAACCTGGTGGACCAGCAGTCATTTATCTGCCAATTGATATCTAAAATTAGCACCTTGCTAAGCGTTTTAACTAATTATGTACAGAACTGCATCATAAATCGCATATAAATAAACAAGTATTGTTAATTGTTAAATTCATTGTAGCATACACTTTTTCCAGTTATCTCTTAGGCCATCTCCATCCTGAGTCCAAGTGCCTACAAAATGCAATCACTCACACAAAATGAAATTAGTGGCCACCAAGGTTTCTGTGTCTGTCCTAAAAGACACAGTGGTCATTGTGTCTTTTAGGACAGACACAGAAACCTTGATGCCCCGAAACTCAGTCCTGATGATTTAGTCATCGCAAACATGGTATTGACCCTTTGGTTCTGTGGTGCTGAAGCATGGGGATGCTTCGTGCATTGTCACATTAATTCTTTTAAGGACATTGAATGATCACTCTGCAGATGTGTTTGAAACAGGAATTAATAAATATATTTTTAAAACTTTTGTCAGCATTAGGAAAGTTAGAAACTAACTCTTCAATATGTGTGCCAGTATCTCTCTATGACTATTTAAAATATTTAAATTCTCACTTCATTTATATTTTATTTTTTCTTCCATTTCTTTTCAGTATTAGGTACTTAATCTCTACATTTGGAATATTTAGATATTTGATACTGAGCTTGTGGAAATAGGATAACTTATTTTCATAGTATTAAGATGAAAAAAGACAATCTATTGATATTTTAGCATTTATTTACCTTAATTTAGTTTATTCTTATGAAGTCAAACAGTTGACTCCATAAGAATGCAGAATGTTCAATAAATTATTATTTAAATTATTTAATTATTTATCTGACTTAAATACACATATCAATAATTTGAAAATAGTGAAATGCTCTCATTACACTTGTAATTTAAACTCATTGCATATCCCTATTTTTTAAAATTATGCATTTTCTATTACAATACAATCATTAATAATTTTTATTCATTAGACAAATAGTAAATAGCGTAATTCCAAATTTATAAAGCAACATAGTAAATTTATGAAAATGATGTTTGTATTTATTATTCTCTGATACATCCTCATTTTAAGAAAAAACACTAGTATTTTCTGAAATATTGCCAAAAGCAATACTTGTATATTTTCATGGTAATGTGGTAAATATATTGATAACTAAAATAATTTTGTATATTTTCCTGTTTTTTTTTCATTATTTGATAATGACATTATAAAAAATATATCTGAAAATGATTTCATATATAAAGATATTCTCATTGCATACTGCCAAATATACAGCAAGTATTGTATCACATTACATTACTTACTGTCGTGTCTAATGAATTGCAGAAAAAAGTATTTTATCTTCAAAATTAAAATATCCTAAGAAAAACAATTCATCTACTTCTGCATTGTTTATTTATTATAACATAAGAATAATTCTCTAATGCAAAAACATAATTAGAGAATAAGCAAATATTATTCATATGTTTAAAACATTAATATACAACTAAAAAATTGACTTAATTAAAACAGGAAATAACAACTTACAAATATTCAGTTATAAATCTAATGATTCTGAAAAACTAGTTGGACTTAATAATTTTTGTTTAATCACTTTATTTCAACTTTTTTTTTGCTAATTATGTATTCACTTGAACTTTGTTAAAACCTTAACTGTATCCCCAACAACAACCGAAGTTGTAGAAGGAAATTCGCCTATTTTACCGATCTAGGGATTCCCTCTTTTCCAAATTTTAATATCAACTCAAAATAATTTAAAAAGATAAATTACAATAAAACGGTTTATTATCCAACTATCAGAAATTTCACATGCCAAGGAAGAGAGGAAGGAGCAATTAAATAATCAAAATTATAAGGGATTAAAAAATATATATAAAAATGGGGAATATCGCACTTCTAACAATCTCTGCAAGTATGTGGACTAAATTTAAAGAATCTGTGCTTCTCACATGTACAACTGTATGTGGCCTGCTTGCATGTCGGAAAATCTTCTGATTTATTCGTGTATGCACCAAACGGAAAAACAAAAAATATCGTGTATCCACAAGCACTCCAATAAATAAATAGAATTGAAACGACACTTTGAAATGTTTTTCCGATGAAAATGAATAATAATAATAAGTTTCAATAAAAATGATAAAATGTAAATTGAATTTTATCATAACAAGTTTGCTTGAATTTC